TGCTGAACCACACTCTCTCAATTCCCTATATGCTATGTCAGCATTTTTCTCTTTTTTTTTTTGAAACCTTTTATACAGTATTTTCATAGATCTGCTCTCATCACAATTTTTCTTCTCTTAAAGAAAACCAGAAAAAGGTAACTGTTCTTTCAAGGAATTTTAACAGCCAATGGGAATATATATCTTTTCTCATTAATCATGAGCCTTCAGTGGAACAAACTTCCTGTTTTTCTCTGCTTCCAGCTCCACTTATTTCTGAAATCTCTTATGAAAACATGCCTTTCATATATTCCTAAAATCACAAAATGGAACAAATTCAATTTCAGTGATGAACCCCTACATGGTCAGATGCCTGACCAAACAGATAAATATTGTGTAATTTCCTGATGCTCACCAGTTTAAATAACTGATTTGCATACATAAATATTTGTTCTCAAGTGCACACATTGTGTGTTGCGCTAATCTCACTTTGCCACTGAGATGGACAAGATTACTCTATATTGGATTTATTGGAATCACAGTCTAAGTTCCAATTTTTTAGAAGCTGTAAATATGACTTGAAAGAATATTTCAGATGCAGTTTTGAGCATTTCAGTTACATTTTTCCATTGAGTTGTATCCCCTGGTAATTTTTTTTTTTTTTTTTTTATCTCAGTGTTTTCATTGGGTTTCTGAATAATCCTGAACACAGGGAAAGGAGTGCTGGGTTGTATGATCAAGGGTTTAGCACTGTGAACCCAGTTGTGTGGTGTCTGCTCTTGAGTTTGTTAGCAGATGGATGTTTAAGGAATCTTTTATTTTTACTGCTGCAAGTTAAATAAGAAACAGTAAGCAGTACATGCTTAAATTAGTGTCTGGCCTTATTAATAATGGAAATGTAAAGACATTATTTTTGGAAGTCTTTGTATTATATGTGTGCATTAGAATAAAAGCGTTTGTTCCTTCAGAGAACCTGTTTTTCAAGTTTTTACTGTCAGTTCATTTTTATCATGATTCTTCAGTTCATAGTTGGTTTTTTAGAGAATTTTCTTAGAATTTTTTCTTAGAAAAGTCCTAACATTTGCATGCATTAAGGATTTTAGAGGATTTATGAACCAGAATTCCACCTGCGTGAATACACACGTGTAAACTGCAGCCAGATTTCTCTTTGAAATATTGTATTATCTTGAAACCACTGCACAATGAAGTGCAGATAATAAGCTCATGTTTTTACTTAGTTAATGGAAGTCTGAATGTAAAGCTAAAACTTGTCAGTGTTTGAGAATGTTTGTGTCATTTTTGTAGTGGATACTTCAAGTCTTGGGGAAGATCCTCTTAAACATTTAAAAATACTTTTAAAAATAATTTTTTCTAGTTGGTAAACCTGATAAATACTTACTTGTCTTGCCTTTATTTCCTGTCAGAGTTCCAACTCGCATTCCAATTTCTTTTGTGTTCTGTTACGTGGTCCTTATATTTTCCGTGTACAAAATACTGTGATTTCAAGAAGATAATTTAAAATATTGATGCTGTCTTCACTTAAATTTTACAGAGTAATGTTTGAGATTAGCAAAAATGCTTAGCACTTTTCCTAAACTTCTGTGGGAGAAAAAATATAGACAATAAACACAGGAGGGAAATTTATTAAGAAGTTATGAACAGAATAGAAATCTCATTTTTTTATTGAAGGAACATTGTACCTTGTTTTGCCGTGTGCCTCAAATAATTATGTGTAGACTACAGTGTGTGTAGACCAAAATTGTATCGAAAATAGCTGTTAGCTTTAAAGTATGCACAGTGGAATAATTTGGCATGAAAGCTCTTTGGTATATTTTTAATGAAATTTAATTATTCTGTAAACTAGAACTTGGATTCTTAATAAGTTACCAAAATACGTCAAACTGCTTGTCTAGTTATTGATAGGCAAGTTTGTTTCTGAAACAAGTTGGCAGATGGGAGGTAATTTAGAAATGCAGACTTAAAACTAATTGAATAATTGCTTTATGGGACTTGTTCCCATTCTTTCAAAGGAAGCTTTTGTAAATTGTGCCAAGTACATTTGAGGCTGTTTCTCCCTTCAGATTAAAAGCAAAAAAGGTATCATCTAAAAGAAAACTTTCTGCTCCCTTTAGTTTTGTCCCCTTCTTGTCCCCCAGGTCATGAGAGATATGTGAACACTGGAGGGCCACCAAGGTGATTAGAGGGTTGGGGAGCTTGACCTGTGTAGAAATTTTGATTGAGCTGGGTTTGTTGAACCTGAAGAGGGGAAAGTTCTGAGGAGGGGAATCTAGTCACCATCTACCTGAAAGGCAGCTGTGGAGAAGATATAGGTAGCTGTCTTTGTGAAGGTGTACAGAAATAGGGCAAAAAGCTATAGGCTCAGGTTGCTTCAAGGGGAGTTCAGTCTTGATAGAGCAACTCCTCACCATGAGAACAGTAAAACACTGGAGTAAGTTGCCCAGAGAAGGGGTGAAAGACTCTGCTTGACAGGGGCTGCATAACCTAACATAAGGCTCTGCTTCCAACAGAAGGTTAGACCAAGTGGTCTCCAGAGGTCCTTTCTAACCTGAATTTTTCCATGATTCTGTGAATCTATTGTTCTCTGATACCAAAGCAAATATGGGGAAATGAACCAGGCAGGCCATGGTACTGCTAGTAAGTTGTGGAGAATAATAGTCATGGATCCTTTGATCCGATCCGTTCCTCAGAGTGCAGCAACTCCTTCTCAACTGTATGAGAAGGGGCAGGTCAGGAGAAAGCAGTGCTTGAGCTTTTCAGTGGAGGGACGTGGTGGACAGTTGGAGCAGAGTGGTAAAGTACTCCTGTGAATTTGAATACATCAAACAGTAGCTGAGCAGTTGAAGAAACCTAGGACAAAAAAAGAGGTAAGTAGGGAGTGAAAAGGCAGTAGCGTATGGGATTGATATACACGTGATACACTGAACAGTTTGAGTGTATTCACTGTGCGTGGTAAGGTTGGGTGGTGGAAGGACTGACAGTGCAGGAGGCACGGTACATCTCTAGGTGCTGGATGGGGTGTAATGTGCATGGTCTTGGACAGTCTTCTCTGGAAGTGTGAATAGCCCTGGGTTACTGAAAGCAAGAGAGCTCTCTTGTAATGGAGGAGGAAGGGTACACCACGACATTCTTGGATGTTTTGTAGTTTGAATCAACTGAAGAGACTGGTGCACTGTTGTCTTAAATACTTGAGAGGAGAAAATAAATATCTGTATTTATTAAGAGGATTGTTTGGATTTAACAAGGTTATTTGATCATAAAATAGGCCATATAAACTCAGAGATGAAAGGCAATAACCTTTGTCCAGGTTGGAGATTTTTTTTTTCTGTTTTGCATTGTTTTAGGTAAGTTGGATTGTCTGTGTAGATTTCATTTGCTTGGTAATCAATCAAAAAATACTTGACAATGTGGTGGTTCTTCTTTTTCAGTATCATAATTTTCTCCAGAGAGGAAGATTAGTTCTGTCCTTAAATTGTTCTGGATTATTCCATGAGCTGACTATTGCAGCTGTCAACATTTCTGTCTTTAAGGTGTTTTCTTTACTATGTCCATAAATGAAATGGAGGACATTTCCGAAATGTCTTGTGTGATGTGTGTGTCAGATTATGCTTTGCAACATGATCTGGAAATTGTCAGAAAACATGAATGTGTGCTTTAGGGTAACATTAGTTCATTCAGATCAATGGCTACTGATGCCAGTGCCTGGTTTTATATAGTGCTTACATATCTGTAGAAGACAACCACTTTGTAGTTCATCTGTATACCCTTATACCTTTTTTAAGATGGGGAACATTAGGATAGAGAAGGAAAGTTCCTTTGCGTAGTCACAGAATCAGCAGCAGAGCTAGGATGAGATTCTGCATCTTTGTTAAGCAATGTTATAGTTTACTTGAAAGTAGTGTGGTATTGGGAGGGGAGACTGTTTTGGATTAAGTGCAACTAATATTTTCTTTTTAATAAGACCATCACCTAACCTATGAATTTTTTTGTCTAAATATGTTGCATTGTCTCTAACCAGATTTTTATTATCCCAATTAAAGAAGATGAATTGCTTTCTGCCGTTGTCTGTTTAGGCAGCTGTAAGCCCTATTGGACAGATTGCATGGTATGCTGATTAATGGTATAGACCACGGGTGATTAGCCAAGTGTGTAATGAGGCCCATAGCTTCCAGTGTATTATAGAAATGCCATTGATCAATACAACCACACAGTCTGGAGTGTCGTCTTGCAAAGTAAATTTAGACTAGTGGGGAAAAGCGGTGTAGCCCCTGAAGAGCTGCTGCAGTTCTACACAGCTGTGCTGATTTTTAGAGGAGGCTTAAATTTAATATAAGGATTTGAAGGCTTGGTGGGTTTGACTTTTTTTTTTTTTTCTCCTTGGTATCTTTCTTACTGTGATTATGAGCCTCTCTACCCCCATTATTCTTGTAGAATAAATCCTGAAATCTTAACATGCATGCGATAACTTTGGGAGATTGTATTTCTACATGGGCTTAAATTGTTGATTTTGTTTCCCAGCATCCAAGAGCAGGAGGCAGAATAGCTTGATAATTTCTGACAAACAGCCTGCTGGTTTATAAAGTGCTGCTAGGTCAAGCTGTCAGATGTCAGACTCTATATGCTACTTTTGTAGCTGAGTATACTTCTTTAAAAATATAAAAATCGGCATGTGTTAAATACTCTCCTTTATAGAGAATGCTGAAAATACACAAGATGTTTGACTTTAACTTCACATTTTTAATGCAGTAATTCTGCTATAGGAATGGAATTTTTCCATAGTGTGCCCTGAACAATCATCAGTATTACTGGTTTCAAGGCTGAATAAATTCAGAGTGTAGAGCAGAGTTTGTTCATAGTGTTTTGTTTTGTTTTTTTTTTTTTGTATGAGTTCTTTCTAGAACAATAACATGAGGTAATTAATTTGCTTATTATTACTGCTCTATTAAAATGTCTATAAATATCTTTTGACTTTATAGGTAGTAGTTCAATTCCAAATTTTTTTCGTATCATGAAGCGACAGTTTACCGAAACAGAGTGGAGAGTAATCCAGTCTATGAGTAGTGAATGGAAGCAGCTGGATATGTTTCATCGACACTGGGTAATGCCTTTTTCCTGTTTTGAGACTGCAGTGCTATAACCTGCATGTTCTCTTTTGATATATTTTGGTGTTATTTTTGTGTAGAGATAATATTTTAATGGATTTTATATTTTAGTGATTTTTTTTTTTAATGACAGAAAACCTTTGGGAACAATAGTGAAGCTTACATTTCTAGAAGGTTTTTTAACTAGTTTTAAACACATACTCAGAACAAGCTAAAGGATTCGTATCTGTATGTGCCACTTGGTAATTCTGGTTGCATGTTCATTATCATGCAGCAAGTTAGGCTAGGTATTAGCCATGCTGATAAAATTTTTCTCTTGATAATTGCATCGGTCTACCCTCGCATTTACAGTAGTATAACTTTTAAATTTATTTAGTCTACGGTATCTGCTCAGAAGTAATGCTTATAGGACAGTTTGAAAACAGGAAGTATGAATGAAATATGTTTGTTTTGTGTTTTAGGCCTTAAAGGAAAGCTTCTTAAAGGCTATTGGAGTTGGGATTGGCTTTAACTTGCAAAGAATTGAATTTAATGTGTCCCCGTTGCAACTGGAAATAGGCAAGGTGTATAATGAGACAACAATGCTGCTGGATGGCAATAAAGAAGAAGAGTGGACATTTGAAGTAAGAAATATTCAGATTTAATTTTCCAAGAATGATAAACAGTCTCAACACCCTATGGTTGCATTGCACATTTGATTTTTTTTTTTTTTTCAATTGCAGCTTCACACCTTTTATTTCATACAACCACATTGAACATGTATCCATCAAAACTTATTTAAGTTATTTAAAGTATTTTTGATGATTGCAAAAACACCACAGAGATATATTAATTATGATCTTTTTTTTTTTAAAAAAAAATCCTGTTCCTGGAGTATGTTTCTTGCACTCTATGAAGTTCATCTTAGGGTGTGCAAGAAGTTCACTGAAGCATTTTCAGACCTGACTTCTGAACAGTGTCTTAAGATTTTAAACTTCTTCAGTTGGTCTAGAATGGGACAAGTGACTAACTAACCCCATTAGTTAAGGCTTATATTAAATGCTTGAAATGGAGCAGGTACATTCAACTCCTTTAGGTTTCTTAGTTCTTGTCCATACAAGCTGGTAGAAATGTGCTTCTGTGGGTTTGGAGTTAGTGTGCTGATTGACTGCTGTCTGTGGGAATGGAGACATGCAAAAAAACTTGCCTTTGCTTAACTGGAACATTAGTTTGGGCTCAGTCTTCTGAGTGTTGCATTTGGGTTTTTTTCCTTCTTGAAAGTTATTGAGACTTATCACTAAAACATCTTTCTTGTTTGATTTGGTAGGAAATGATCCATAGCATCTAGTATAACTCAGAGGGTATATAGAGAAAGAACTGGTAGGGACATCATGTAGTGGTGGACTTGGTAGTGTTAGGTTAATGGTTGGTACTGGATGACCTTAAAAGTCTTTTCCAACCGTAATGATTCTGATGCTATACAAGGATCTAAAATTATTTAAATACCCTAAGAAACTAAGCTTTAAAAAAAGCCAGACAAATCACAATACCATTTCTCTATACCCCAAAGACACTTTCATTCAACTGCTTCGAATGAAGGAAGAAATGCAAAAGACATTGACTTCAAAATTGTCTGTAAAGGGCACCTTGTCCCAGTCTGCCAAAGATTGTGCACCTGCTATACACCTGACTAGCAATTCAAAGAATACGTAGTTTGGAATTTCGATTGAGTTCTGGAATTCCTAATTTTGGTCTTTGATGACATGTCTGTGATTGATTGGCTAAAATACCCTGAAGATGATGGTGATGTAGGTAGCTCCCTGTATTACGTAAATGCTTTTATTTGATTTTTCCTGATTACTTAGTAATTACTGCTAGAAGCTTAATTTAATTTTTGTCTGAGGAATGACTCCTCTTCCATGCTTGCCCTCCTGCTTCCCAAGAACACAGCCTTATAATGAGGCAGACTGTAGTATTTCAAAGAGAGAATTTATTATCAAGTTTCATTTAAATAGAGGCTCAATTGGGATATAATTTAATTTAAATCTCAACATTTATTACAATTAAATTGGAAAGAATAATTAGTTTTTCAATTACCAATCCCTAGCCTAAAATTAAGCATCACTGTACTTTTTTATTCTCCCAAGTTTCTTTTAATTTTGTACCCATTTTCTTACTTCCTAAAGTATTTTTTTGTTTCATTATTTGCCCTTGAGCCAAATTCTTGAAACAACTTAAGTGAAAACCCTAATTTTGAGAAATCTGGAAGTCACCCAAGACTCTTCATGAGAGGTCATTAAGAATCACGTGTAAGATTGTATATTACTGGCGTAGTATTTTCCTTGTGTTCTCCATTGTGCTGAGTTTGTTTGACTTTATTTCTATCAAATAAAAAAAATATAATGACCTCATATTTGCTTTTCAGATATAGCTTTTTGATAGGAGATGATCAAAGAGAGCAAGGCTGTTTAAAATCCAGTTATCACGTTTTGAATTCTCTTATTTCAGTTTTAAAGAGAATCTAATTTACCAAAAACAGAAAAGAGAAATAAGGTGGGGTTTGCCTATTTACATTATAGAAAATAGTCTGAAATCTCCTTCAGAAAGTACTATATAATGTAAAAAAAGCAACTTAAAAACGTAAAGACTAGAAAAAGGTGTAACACCTTGTGCTTGTCATGACAAAAAGGTCAAGAGGAGTACTAGTGAATCAGAGCAAATCAAAGCTGATACTGTTCAGACACCCTGCAACTGTTCACAAGAGGAAAGCCTGTTCATATTGGACATCAAATTTTTTGTGAACATAAAAAAAAAAAAAAGAAATTCTGTTAATGAACACACCAAATGAACTGCCCTGTTGTGTAGTTGACTGTTCTCTGTCCCTTTACCAAAAGTTTACTTTTGTTCAGAGTGTCTTTTGCCTCCTCCACTCCTTGTATATTTTTGAGCTTGAGTAGAAGGCACTAGCCCAGAGACCTCCTCCTGTTGTCTGATCAGGATGGACTGATTTAGCTTTCAGCACTTTTCATACAGTACTCTGGAGATTACTACTCAGATTCCTTCAACTATTTTGGAAGGAGTATGAGGAAAAAATACCAAAAAAAAAAAAAAAAAAAAAAAAAAAAAAAAAAAAAAAAAGTGAATTTGCTTAGTAGTAATTAAGTTTGCTACTCCAGTAAGGAATGATACAGTATTTGTGTCAGGATTAATTTAGGGTGGAATCATTATTTTGATGATGTAGATTATTACTATTATCATGAGTGACTTTCTGCTCAATTTACTTCCTTTGAAGAAAATAAGTTCACATAATTAAATACTGTTTAATTTTAATAAAAGTCAAAGAAGATGATCAATAACAATTATTATATCTTTATAATTTAAAGAGTTAAACATAAGTTTATAATAAATCTGTAGCAGATCTGACATGGAAAAAAATCCTAATTACTGATTTGCAAAATGTTAAGTCTATGACTCTTTCCTTATTGGTCTCAGTTTTGTACAGCTAATCAGGAAAAACAGTTGGATTGCATGTATTGGAATTTACACTAAAGAAGAATCTTAAACGATACATAATATAGTTCTGGTTTTTGTCCCCTCCTCAGTTTTGGATACAACTGGTTTATGAAGGAAGTGCCCAACTTATCTTAAACTTCACTCAGGGATTATTAATTGCCTGGCATCACTGCTGCTACACAGATAAATGTTCACCTTTTTTTCTCAAAAAATATTTGCTTGGTTTCTCTATATGCAAACATGTAACTTCCAAAGGATGAATTTCAAGCAGATTACCTGGGTCAATTTGAAACTTACTTAGTAATTTCTCTTGGTGTGCAATGGTAATGGAGCCTTTCACCCTCAGTAGGAGAAGTTAATCCTGTTGTATTGTCAGGAGTAAATAGGAGTGAAAAGCCTTTATTCCTAAGACTAGCTAATAGAACTGGATTCACCCAACAATCAATTCTTCTGTCTAGGATGGTAGCTTCCTCATAAGCTGTCTGTTAACTGCATCCAGAATTATTTGAATCCCAGACATATCACTCTGCCCAGCCTTTGAAATGAGATCATTAGAAGTCTCAGTGTGTCTGTAGATTGAACAGCTCTGGTAAGGCTTTAGCTCTGTGCTAAAAAAACAAATTTTGAAATTTTGATCCATTAATGTCTTCTGGCTTAGAGAGAGAAATCTTAACAAAACAGAGGTAAAGGAATTACTCCTTTACTGCAGTGGAAATCTTGTAAATGAGAAGTAACCAAGTTCAGACAAAATAAACTGTGTGTTTAGCTTAAAGCTGTAACCGATTTTTGCAGAGTTCTGACTACAGATGTAGGCTGCTGCTGAATATGCTGGGAGTGTCCTCTGTTCTTATCAGTCTTTAGCCTCTTGAACATGCAAAAATATGAAAGAAGGGGGGAGAGAGTGATGAAAACCTGGATGTAGTAATGTTTCCATCTAAACAAACACAAAACACTGCCACCTTAGAACTATATAAATTCTTTAGCAACACTTGATCGAATGTTTAATTTTCATAGTCTTTCCTCTTTTTGAAGTTACAGAAATGTGTGTGATGTGTACAAATGGTTAGGTTTCATCAAACTAGAGGAAACATTCTTTATTCCTAGTAGTGGAAAGGAAAACCTAGTAAAATACGTCCTGGTGGGTACACCTGTAGCTCTTGCAGTCATGAGAAGTAGCACTTACACTGCAGATTTATTACTATTTCTCATATGTATTAATTATTTTTCTTAATCTAGACAGAATTGGAATAGTCATTTTCTTGCTAGTAAAACAACTTGAGCTTGACGTTTTGTTTTTAAGCAAGTAAGAGAGACAGAGTTCACTGTTAAATGTGTCCAATAGGCACAGTTTTGGTGTTGAAGAGATCAAAGTAAAAACACAGTTCTACTTCCACACCAGCACCTATCTGCCAAGACACCCACATCTTTGCCAGTGAAGTCCCTCAGCCTTCTAGCTGTGCTGCTGCTGCACGTGACTAAAGCAGCTGCTGTCTTGGCTGAGCTGGGTTGAGCAGCTCCAAGCTGAGCTTCTTGCCACTTTTTTCTTCATATACAGGACTATTTGGGAATCACAGAAATGGTATTTTTGAAAATCCTATATAGTAGGTGAATTGTAGAGAAGCCATTGCAGACTGGCAGCATTGTTTTAAGAGACATGTTGCTTAAATTAAAAAGGGGGGGAAAAGCAACTAACAGCCTGTCAGAGGAAATAGGACGTAATGATGTTTTCTTTATCTTATAATTTAAAGTACTTCCCACGGAAGTGGAAATTGAAGGTCATTGATATGTCCCAGGAAAATATAGTAGCTGATTTTCATATTAATGGTGATATCTAAATTGTTCATTTTTCTAGATTAAATCCTTGTTATTTTTTATTTCCATTTTAGAAATTCTGTGCAGAAATTATGTGAAAATTTTTGGATAAAGAAACAAGGAACACATTGTTTTCCCCCCTTTTGACTGTAGAATAAATATTCCTCTGAAACAGTATATATAAATAATTTTTTTCTGAAATTAGCTGTTTTGGTTGAATCCTTAGCCTTCATAGAAAAAAACACCTTTAAACAAAACTATTAATTAGATAACTATATAGTTAGTAATATAGTTTATGTATCTAAAATCATTTTTTGAGAAAAATGGATTCGTGTTTACACCAAGCAGTGCTCAGGCTGCTGTGTCAGAAATATGAAGTTGTGATCTTACATGTTGTCTGAAGCCATGAGTGAGAGAGTCATTGGTTTAAGCTGCCACTGAGATCACTGTCTTTCAGAATATTTCCAAGAAGTTCACCATTCATCTTGTTGTAACACAGATAACTAAGATCTGTTATATGGCTTGTAATGTACAAGGCATTGGTAGAGGAATGCTAAGGTCACAAACTTGAATATAAATATCTACAAATGAGTGAAAAAAAACCTGTACTAACTACTTCAGCCCTACTGACTTCTTAATGTGTCTGCATCTTTGAGCTCTCCAACAAAAATTGCTAAAGAGGGCTGTTGCTTTTTTGAATGTCATTATTTTAAAGTATTTTAAATTATGTTCTGCTATTGTTCTGAACCATATTCTAAACATTTATATAGTCTTTGCTGGGAAAGGAGCAAAGAAAATATATTTATATTGCCATTTTTCATCTTTACTAGGAAACCCGGTTAGATGACCATCATCATGTCGCAGTGGCTCTTGGGAAACAGGAGGGAGCTGGACAGAAGCATTCTGATGTAAGACACTATAAAACGTTTCTAGGCCTTGGTAACTAATCACCTGAACATAAACTTAGTCTGATGCTGTACCTAAAAGTGTGTTATCTCAGATGTAGGACGAAGGACAAAGCACATCATTAACCAGATTGTTACTGATCTGTTACCTCCAGTTCTATTGTGCCTATTTAAGAAAGGGCAATGAGAAGGAGAAATGGCTTCAGAAAATCTGGAATGTGTTACCACATTCACTATGTTCATTCAAGAGAAGATTAAGTGATTTTTGTCACAGCTTGCTAGTACTCGTGTGGGAAAGATGGCTTTCACAGATGGAAATGGAGACAGTGAACCAATCTGGGCTGCCAAACTAGTGCAGCACTTCACCAAGCTGATTTTAGTAGGGCATTGTCAGAGCATGTATTGCAGAGCAGATCTGTCTTTCAAACACCGTTATGACAAGATAACCATTGAGACAAGCAACAACCACCAACAGATGGGAAGAATAGCAGTGTTAGTTTCCATTCCATGTGGTGTCACTGTTGAGAAACAACAAAGCTACTTAAAAGCTTTTTATGATTTTTTTTTTTTCTGTAATTTAACAAAGATCTGAGTAATGAGAACAGTAATACCAGTTAAATTTGAGGTAGACTGGCAAGTTGTAGCCAAAATAACCAGTCAGTCAGCAAAGGAAAGTATAACAAATTGCCAGGTTTGTATGTGGTGTTTTAGTTGCTCACAAGAAAGTGGGTTAGTTGTTTTCTGTTATTTAGATACAAAAATCCTGCCAGGAACTAAAAAAAAAATTAGTATATGAATGGATAAGGATGAAAGTACCCATCCACACATCTGTCGTGGTCACAGTCTGAGTCTGTGCTAATGGATAACACAGAGAGGCAGACCATTCCACTAGTATTGATCAGATTAAATAAAAGAAAAGAAAGATGAACTACCTTTGAGGCTTTACTGTAGTAAATTGGTGCTCAAATATTCTTTAAGGAAATATGTGCTGTCTGTTTGACAGGATATACTTGATATGCAGCCCCAATGGCAAATTATCTTTCCTACAGGAATACTGATAACAGTCTTTAGAAATAATGACCAACTTCTTTTCACCTAGGACTGACATTTATCTAAGTATTCTGCAAAAATCCAGGATTTTTAAGTATTGACCTTCACCACCACTGTCACAGCCTTTAAAATTACCATTGAAAGAATAAGCGTGGTGTCAGGAGTGCCAATGAAAAGCCTTTGTATCAGGAGAAGTTTCAAAGGCACACTTTTCCACTGACTAAATATGTGATGACCTAAATTTCGTTAGCTCAACTCACTGAAAAAAAAAAAAGGTCATTTTAAATGGGACAAGTGAGTATTCTGTGACTCCAGAGTATGGAAATTGAGTGAAAATTTTTGTACTATTGTATTGTGCCTTTTCAGGACTCCTAAAAGCAGTGTGGGGGAAATTAAAAGGGACCTTCTGACTTGTCTAACAGAACTGTTAAAAAAGGATTCTATGTATTGCTAGATGTGCTGAGAGGAAACCATGATCTTCATCTTAGATTAAAAAATGGAGTGTGCAGACATGCAGTTTCTTCAGGATGTCAATACTTCTTTCTGTTCCTTCTCTGCTATCACAGGAGTAATTCCTTATGTCCTGTTTGCAGAACAAGTACTTCCAGTGAGCGAGCTTCTCAACCTGATAGCAAGTTCCTATAATTCACAGGAAAGACCAATTGTTACTTTAGAGTACTGTAATTTAAATTCTCTAGTGTCTATCAATTGCTAAATTTCACAGGACTTGTGATGGATTCAGCCAGAGCACACTTGTCTTCAAATAAGCATGTGCTAAAGTTCCAGCTAGATCTGTTAACAGTCTACTCAGCTCCAAGTCTTAGTTTGTATTTTTCATGCATATGTCATGTCACTTGCATGGCTTTAGGCACAGTTCCTGCAGCTTTACCTCATCTTGAAAATGCCAGATGAACAGGAATGTCTCAACACCATGTCACTTAGTGAGGATTTAAAGTGAGAGGCAGCTCAATCAACTTTTTGCTTTCAGTATGAGTTGGACAACTTTGAGGTTTTGCTGTGCTATGGCAACATTTTGTTGTCTTTCTGTTGACTCCTAGCAGTGACTTACTGCTCAAACACTGAAGCGGAGGGTATTTTTTTTAGATTTTACCTATTTACAGACCTACCTTCATCGTTCTAGAAGGATCTCATAAGATCCTTCTAGAGAAACTGTTGATGTATGTACTGGATAAACAGGCAGAGAAGTGCACTGACAGCTGGCTGAATAGTTGGGCTCAGAGTGTGGTGAAAATGGCAGAAAGTCTAGTTGAAGGCTGGTAACCAGCAGTGTACCCTAGAGGTCAAAACTGGGTTCAGTCGTGTTTAATATCTTCATTAATGATTTGGATGTTGGGGCTGTGTACCCTCAGGAGGTTTGCTGGCGACACAAAACTGGGAGGAGTGGCTGATGTGCTAAAGGATCACGATGACATCCAGAGAGACCTCGGCAGGTTGGAGAAGTGGGCTGAAGTCCTGAAAATGGGGAGAAACAGCCCCAGGCATCAGTTTATCCAGATGGCCACACAACTGGAAAGCAGTTTTGCAGAAAAGGCACTGGGGGTCCTGGTGGACACCAAGTAGAATATGGGCTAGCAGTGGACCCTTGCAACAAAGGCGGCTAACAGTATCCCGGGTTGCATTTAGAAAAAGTGTTGGCAGCAGGTCAAGGGAGATGATCCTTCCCCTTTACTTAGCACTGGTGAGGCACACCTGCAATGCTGTGTCTGGTTCTGGGCTTCTCAGTACGAGAGAGAGAGGGAACTACTGGAGAGAGTCCATCGAAGGGCCACAAATATAATGAAGGACCTGGAATGGCTCTCAGGAGGAAAGGCTGAAAGAGCTGGGACTGTTCAACTTGGAGGAGAAGAGGCTCGGGGGGATTCTAATGACGTGTCTAAGTACACGAAGGGAGGGTTCCAGGCTTTTTTCATTGGCATCCAGTTACAGGAACAGAGGCAGTAGGCACAAGGTGAAACACGGGAAGGTCTCCGTGAACATCAGGAAACCCTTTTTTTTTTTTTTTTTTTTTTTTAGTTTCCCACTGTGACAGTGACCAAAATTGCCCAGGGAGTTTGTGGAGTCTCTGTACTTGGTGATACTCAAAATCCATACAGATATGGTCCTGGGCAACTGGCTCTAGGTGGCCCTGCATGAGTAGGAGGGTTGGACCAGATGACCTCCAGAGCTCCCTTCCAATCTCAGACATGCTGTGATTACCAGACATCAGTAAAAGAAATTCCACAAGAAGTTAACAGTACCTCAGCCTGCATCAAAAATGTGTCAACTTGTGATGTACAGAATAACCCACTGCAGAGTAGTAGGGCTGCTGAATTCTATCGAGTATCAAATATTAGGAGCATGTTGGTTGAGCAGATGTGGAGTGTGGAAAGGACCAGCTCTGTTCACATTGGATTCCTGCGGCTGCGCTGTTCGGCCTGCTCTTTGGAAAGATATACACTCCCAGATAGCATACAGCAGGGTGCACAGTAACGTGCTCAAAAACCCAAACCTGTTTCTAATTTGAAATGTGATTTTTCTTGAAGTGGTGGATCTAATGCAGAGAGCAGGACACTCAGATTTCCAATATCTGTCTGCACTTAACCTGGATTTAACACTTGGAATTGTGGGTTGACTGTGACCACTTTTGTCCTGAAACAGCATGAGTTGGAGAGAAACATTCTCAACTCCAGTGATTACTGGTATTAAAAAGAGGATGACTAGGCACACCTCTAGTAGAATAAATCCTCATTCTATCTTCTCAAATAATCATGTCTGCTGGAGAGTTAAGTACAGGTTTTTTATTGGTGGCTTTTTTTTTCTTCCTCTTTTCTGGACCCAAACACTCATTCTGTGGTATTTGCACCATTCTCTATTCCTTGTTCTTTCAGTTTTTTGAACTGAGTTTAAAAGATAATGTGTTTTTTTTCTGTTATGTGCTTCTGTTAGCTACTGTATAGACTAAATTAGGGACAGTGACATTTGTTTCAACTGAAATATTTTCTTCTGCAGTAAGTAATGTGCAGTTTCAACTAAACAGGGAAAACTAAAGGAAGAAAATTGAGATTTATTGATTCATGTAATACTAACATGTATTTTCTTTAGGTATGTTCTACGGAGCCTAACCAACCACAGTTTACATTATTGACTTTTGAAGATTTAGTTGCTTCTGGTATTCCAGTCACACCTGAGGATTCTGCATATTGGGATAATTTTTGTTCTAAGCAGGAGAGTCCAGTGCAATACAATTCATATTCAAGATCAGAATGCTTATAAGGAAATTGGCAACGTTTTTATGCTGCTACCCTACGTAATTCAGAGTGCGAGGAAAAAGTGCCCATGTGCAAATGAAACGTTTTTTCTTATTTAAATGAACAGTCTGATTTTCACCTTTTTAAAATAAATATTCTTTATCAGTGTCTTAAGGATGATGCATATTTCCTCACTGAAGGAATTTTCAGTGAAAAGTCTAAGCTGGCTATGTGCTTTTCTGCTTCTCCATGCCTATGTTTTTTACTTCAATAATTACCCATGCTAGGAGCAGGAAGCAGAACTACAATATTGTTAGTTAGTCAAGAATTGTTTAATATATAAAAATCTATTTCCATACTTCATTTATGCTGAAGCTTAAATTATGATGTTGCCTTTTGTCTTACAAAAGTGGTAGTTTTATTCTCAAATGGATGAATAAAACCAGAAGAATTGGTACAGATCCCTTTGCCGTTACTGTATGATGCAAGTGTCTGTACAGTACTGTGTAATAGCAGGCTGCAGAAGGCTGAATATTGATTGTGGAACTACATTGGTGCAGAACTGGTTGAGGCAGGGAATTATCTTGTAAGTATGTCAATTTTAAGTATCCTTTTCACTTAGTCATTGTTAATCAAAGCTTCCTGTGTGTAACTGAGAATTTCATTTTTAGCAGTTCTTTTTTGTATTTTTTTTCACTCATCAATAGAAAAGAACCAAACAGCAGTTCAGTTTTCCTAGACTTGCACTTACATCTGTATTGTCCTGGACACTAAATCATGGAGAAAGGGACCAAACAAAGAAACACTTTTTTTTCCAAATACTGGTGTTACATCTGAAGACAGAATATTTTGTCTTAATGAACTAAAAATTCTGGACATCTGCAGATCTTGAGTGCATCTGTAGAATATTTCATTCTTTCTCAAAACAAATCTGACTCTGCATCCCTTGCTTGTCTTTCTAAAGTCATAGTTACAGTATGGTGCATCAAAATGTAAGAAAGCATACTGAATAGAATGAGTCATGCTGAATGTAATGTTGATTTTCACAACTAAAAAGTGTTCATTTATATCCTACAGTTAAATATAGATCTTTAGTGGATTTGGCTTTGTGCACAACTTGGCTGCGCCCTGCATTCTGACTAAAGGAGAATGTACTTCTAGTGTAACCACTGAAGCCATGCCTTACTATAACTTATGCAAAAATATATTTTGAGGGGGTTTTAAACCTGCTGGTTTTGCCCGGGAAGAAAACACCCCCAGCGGGACCCCCGTATTACCTCCAGGGTGGTCGTCAGCAAAGAGGAGGACAGTGGCGAATAAAGGAGAGATGGGCAACGATCGCTTTCTTCCAAAATAAAAGGTTTTAATAACATGAAAATAACAAACAAAAAACACCTGAGGCAGGCACTGAAACAGCACTCACCCCAGGGGAGAAGTGAAGGAGCATGTGGCCTTGGGGCCAGGGTTTTTTAACAGGTTGGTAGGTGGGTTTACAAAGGCATTGTCCTGTAAGGATACAGAGATGGGTTACCTACAGGTCAGGGGTCCAATGGGTGTTAGGGGATTGGTCTTGTGGTGGCTAAGCCAACCACAACTGGGAAAGGGGGAAAATTCTGGATGTGTGCCCATGTCTGGGGACAGAGAGGCAACAGAAACCTCTATTTCCAGGAGGCGCACTGCAACACCTTACTACAAAGACAGAGAAAAGGTTTAGAGTGAGAGGCATATGAGTTTTACAATATTGTAAAAGCTTTTGGAGTTTTGCTGTAGATAATTCTGAGTCATCTGAACTTATAACAATTCTGATTAATATTTTTGTTTCCATTTCAAAGACTCTCTCATCTTGCATGCTAGTCATAGGTTTTGGTGGTTTGCTTTTTTCCTCCAAAACTGCAAATCGGTAAAGCAGTGACTCTTGTCTCCAAACTCCATAGGAGTTAAATTAGATTTCAGTAACTTCAAATCTGAAGTTAACAGAAATACAGTTATATATATAAATTGTACGTCAAGTACTCTAGACAGTTTTTTTTAATTAAATACAACTTGAGATAAATAATTGGTACTCCACGAAGGCCAGAAAGGTCTATTCAGTGGATATGTAATAGTATCAGTTACTGGGATAGGATATTTTTAACTGATTCATTTGACTTTGTCTTATTCTGCTCTGCCTGAAGTGTACTGTAATCTCAGATGGGCAAGCAACATGAAGGTGCTTTAAGAGCTGAGGTAACTGGAAGCATTGCCAAGCTGAAGGGAAGGACTTGTTCTGCCACAGGTTTCAGAAGCCTGCAGAATAAGGAAGCCTAGTCAGAGTAGGAGAGGCTGGAGAGCACTGAGCTCCATGGCTGGCTGGCTGTTAAATGATCCAGTTCATGCCAATCCTCACTAGTCACTGAAGACCCCATCAACTGCAGCTGTAGTTTAAATTGCCAGTGTTTTGCTGGGACAATTAAATGAACTGCAAAGTCATCAGAATGTTTTTCTGCGCATCAGTGTACTGTAGAAGCACATATTGAAATAAATGTTGGTAGCGTGTACAGATAGTTAATGTAATCTCAGAGCTCTTTGAGATTATTTTCTTTAATTCACCATCACACTTTCCCTTGTATAAAAAATTGAGCCGAGTATCCACACAAGGCTGTAACACTAGCTTCCCTGCATTTCCTCAGGATGCAGCCTGAATGTCCATAATGTCATTTTTTTGACACTACACCATTTTTTGAACCTGCAGGTCTAGCACAGCTCCAGCTTCCCTCACTAGTTCAAGTTGTTGGCCCAGTCTGGTACAGATGAGCTGACATTTGCTGCTCTCCCATCACACTTCTCTCTGCAAGAAATATCCCATTTATATCTAGAAGCCTGCTGCCCTTTAGGTTCCTTCTCTAGAGTGCCCTTTCTTTGTCTGTTTTATTTTCTATATACTGCCTTAAACATGACCATACCATGTACCTGAATCCTAAAGGGTAAGAAGCTGCAAGAACAGAAGCTCTGCTTCACATGAGCCTTTCCTATCAGCAGCTGTGACTAGGTAGGGTTTTTCCCTATGGGACAGGATTAACCAGCCTCCTTGCTATTTCAAGTACAGATTTAGATCTTAGATTTGATCCGCTGCCCTAGACTGCAGGTTGACCCAGTGTTTCTGAGGAGTAGCTATTAACAGTCTCTGACCTAATAATAAAATGTAAAAAAGTTCTATGGTCTATGGTCTTCAATGAACAGACTGTGAAGTGAATAAATGTATTTTAATTTGGACATACGTTTAAACATTTGTGTATCTTGTATAAAAATTGAGTGGATTATGAGCTTCAGGGAATAGCGCTGCCTTCAAGACATTTTTCATCTGTGTGACAAGAGATGGGTGACATTTGATGTGAAAATCTGTCATTTTGAAAAGTGAATCATAGGAATTCACCCTGCCTTCCACAAAGTCTATAATCCTATGCCATGCTGTTACCCTATTATGGGATCAAATGCACTGATGTTAATCAAGTGTACTGATCTTACACAAGAAATCATAGAAGTAGCAGCAGAAATAATATGAATGTAGTTGTGATGTATGTATTCTTGGAAACATGTAGGCAACAGCTCACCTTTAAACAATCATCTCTACCCCAGACATTACTCTAGGGCCATGATCTGCAAAGAAAATCAAGCTAGGAAGGAAAAGACAACTATTAAACTGAGCATAGGCTGCCTCTCTTTTGAAGCTTTACAAGATTATTGTGCTACATTCTACAAAGAAGTTAAGTGGTGCTTGAGCAGAATTGGTACCAAGTCAGAAACAGTCATTCAGACTTCCCTCCTTAACTGCTGCCTAATTCTGCAGGTGCCTGGCATCGCTGGTTTGTGCTTCATGTTCCCCCAGAATATGGATATTTTGGATTCCTTTACACTGTATAGAAAATGTAAACATGAAAATAAATTCTGAATTTTTCTTGAGAGCAAACATTTAAAAAGTTTTTTTCAAAAAGTCACTTTTTGTAATATGTTTTCTTATGCAGTTGCATACAGATTTTTTATGACCAGATACTGAGATTCCTATCTCTACTAAGATTAATTTCTTTATTGAAATAAAAAGTGGTTAATTTTGTGTTTGTGTTCTGGTTGTGTCATCTATTTACAGTTCTACCTTTTTCCTTTTTTTTTTTTATCTCACTGTTATTTAGATCCAAGTGGAATTTAGGTAAGTGGGATTACTGAAACACTTGCCTAACACTCCTTTGTTATTTTTGAAACAATTTATGGGAATACAAAACTGTATACTCTCACTGACATCCATTCGATGACCTAGGAAATAAAGGTCTGAACCAGCTGGCCACACTCTGGCATTCTTGTAAGCCTAGGCATGTTCTTACTTCCAGATGTCTTACTTCCAGGACAAAGACATTCCCTGGCTTCTTCCTACCATTTTAATTTAATAACGTGCAACCTCATTGCTTGACATAACTATGACATAATGTTAATGTTGTCTAGATTAGAGTGTTTTATCTCTTGGCCTAATTTCCAAGCATGTGAGGGTTAATCCAGGTAACGACATATTTTCAAATACAAGGCTATAGTGTTGCATAGTGTTACACATGTAAGGAAAATTTTGAAGAAATTTTTTTTTTTGAACTATGTTGTAGAACACAAAGGTTCTTAGGAAGGCTAAAGCCCAGCTAGAACTTCATCTGGCTACTGCCATAAAAGACAGTAAAATACATTTCTATAAATACATGAGAGCAAGAGGAGAACAAAGGAGAGTCTTCATCCTCTACTGGATGCAGAGGGGAACACAGTAACCATGGATGAGGAAAAGGCTGAGGTACTGATGCTTTCTTTGTCTCAGTCTTCTACAGTAAGACCAGTTGTCCTCTGAGTGCCCAGACCCCTAAGTAGGAAGACAGGGACAGGGAGCAGAATGAAAACCCCATAATCCAAGAGGAAATGGTCGGTGACCTGGTGCACCACTTGGACAAAAGTCTACAGGACCAGATGGGGTCCAGCCAGCACCTCTGGGTACTAAGGGAGCTGGTGGATGTGCTC